TTAACTAAAAAAGGAAGTAAACTGGAAAACAGGATGACTCGCAACCCAGAAAACATGAAACTCTTAATAGGAGCATGTCTAAGGCTTGACCCAAGACAGAGATCAACCAGACCAGACATAAGGCATATCTGATGTGTTTTGTTATCTGAGAAAATAAATATTGATGGGTATATGACGGATCTTTTTGAACTTTGGGGGAAAAAATGTCAGTTACCTAGAAAAATAAGCTATTAAAAATAGGCAATTAATTCCAGAAATAATAAAATATTGTACAAAAAAATAATCAAAATAAGATATGAAAATACAGATCAGAGTGGGTCAGATGGGCCATTGATGATTGGGCTTGGAGACGGGTATAGGGAAGAGCACGGGCACTGCCCTTCTTTGTTATGAGCAGATGATTACTATTTGACTTAAATTAGGTGAAGTGCTCTGATAGGAAAAGTTAATAAGTAATAAAAATAAAGTTACATATGTCTCTGATTAAGGAAAAAAGCTCCTATACTACAGAAGACTATAGATAAACAGTAAAAAGTCTCCCTTTTTCTATATCCCATCCTTGGTATGATTCTCCTGAGGCAGCCACTTTAAGAAAAATTGTTTTTAATGTTTATTTTTCAGAGAGAGAGACAGACAGACAGAACATGAGTGGGGGAGGGGCAGAGAGAGAGGGAGACACAGAATCTGAAGCAGGCTCAGGCTCTGAGCTGTCGGTACAGAGCCTGACATGGGGCCTGAAATCATGAACCACTAGATCATGACCTGGTCTGAAATTGGACCCTTAATTGACTGAGCCAGCAAGGCGACCCTTGAGGTAGCCACTTTTAACAGTTTCTACTTTTAGTTGCTCTGGCGGTTATATCCATGACTGGAAGTTCAGCAAAACCTTGGTTTGAAAGCAGAATTTGTTCTTGAAGCCTACTTGTAATCCAAAGCACTTGTATATCAAAGCAAATTTCCCCCATAACAAATAATGGAAACTCAGATGGTTCATTCCACAACCCACAAAGATTCATATAAAGATGATTACAATACTATAATATAATATAAAATAATAAAGAAAAATAAATTAACCTCCACTTACCTTTGAAAACTCTCATGGCTGGTGTGAGGGAGACAAGAGAGAGGAGGGCTATTGTGTAGGATAACTTTGACTATCACTAATGGACCTTGACTACAGTACAGTATTAATAAACTCTTGTCATAGACTGTATTTAATGTAACTGGCAATAAGGCAGCAGAGGAAATGGTCTGTGTCCACAGGCAGCCTGACCTAGAATGAAGCAAAGCTTACTCTTGTATGGAAGAGCCAAGGACTGTCCAATAGGTTGCTTTGAAGTGACAAAAAATACACTAGTGCCAGTTGTGGGCACCTTCCAACGTTTTGAAATGTCACTGATTTCTGCCAAACATCATGGCCTGAGACCAAGCATCTGAGCATGGGAGAGGACCACGCACAATCTCACAGAGAGAGAGAGAGAGAGAACCATTGGCTCGGTTGTGATCATGTGACGTTCAGCCCCCCATTCTACTCGTATTGCAAGACATCGCTTGTTTATCAAGTTAAAATTTATTAGGAATGCTTGCTCGTCTTGCGGAAGACTCGCAGAGCAGATTACTCACGATCCAAGGTTTTACTGTATATCTTTTGGTAAAGTGTAAAGCCATCTGGACTTGTCTTTGCCCAGTTAGACGTGGCCACAGCAAGCTTCACTGTGGACATTGCAGGTTCATAAAGTATGACTGGCCTATGGCTGTTGTTGGTCCTTCAAACCTGAACCACTGTATACAGCCAGGGAAGCAGCACTGACCGTGTTGGGTGAGGCGAAGGGTTATCCTGCCAGTGGGAGCATGGCATTTCTGGCAAGAGAGTCCTCTCCTAACTGTTGGAGTTGGTGCCATGGCAGATTTTCCTGACTCAGGGAGAGAGTGTTGATCCTGGGTCCAGCTGGTTACACTGTTTGTTGATTTTGATTATCTGCACCAAGAAGCTCTTTTCCTGGCACAGAAAATCAGAAGAAGGCAGTAATTTTCCACCTAACGAATAAAAATGCTTTTTGCATTTTGAAATGATAATAAAGTTTCATTCAGCTTTCATCAGAATTATGGGGGACATTTTATTGAATTAGGTCAAGAACTCTTTAGTCCTCTGTCCGTAGGCAGACCATGTTTTCTACTTACCACTGTGCTGTTCTTGAAAGATAGAGAAACAAAATCAGCGCTACCAACACTGGCTGTCTTTTATTCAGCTCTTACTATGTGCTGGACACTCTGCCAACTACTCATCATCTCATTTAATCCTTATGATAGTGTTCAGAGCTGGCTACAGTCATCACTTCCATTTTAGACTGAACATTGATGTCAACACTCCATTAACAGTCAAGTGACTCGTCCAAGGTCACAGGGCTGGAAAGTGCCAGAGCTGCATCTGAAACCCTAATTTGTGTTGACTCTGGGGCCCAAGTTTTTATTTCTGTGTTTGCCTGATTTTCAGTACAGCCTCTGACTCTATTACATGAGAACAAGAAAGCAGCTGATTTATACTCAAAACCTGATTACCAGTGTAAGGTTATGTATCTTGTTATCATTGCCTAGTGTTTATCAAAACTGTTGCATCTTTTCTTTTCACGAAAGTTTGGGATTTTATACATTTTCTATTTCTGTATTTTTCGGTATCCTCTCAATTCATACTTCTGGAGTCTTCTCTGATGTCTCATGATAACTTTCCTTTTATTTCCGTATATTCACCACGTTCTCTTTATGTTTGTTTGAAGTGTCTCTATTCTCATATCCGGAATATTGCAACTATCTCTTCATGGTCTGCCTTGTGCCAATCTCTGTCCTCTTAAGTTGACCATAAACATCTCTCCAGTTCTTTTAAATTTTTTTTTATGTTTTTTATTTATTTCTAGGAGAGAGAGAGAGACAGTGTGAGCAGGGGAGGGTCAGAGAGAGAGGGAGTGACAGACTGAAACAGGCTCCAGGCTCTGAGCTGGCAGTCAGCACAGAGCCTGACACGGGGCTCGAACCCACGAACCGCGAGACCATGACCTAAGCGAAAGTCGGACGCTTAACCGACTAAGCCACCCAGGCGCCCCTCTCCAGTTCTTTTAAAGCTCAGCTTCTCTCATATTGAGTACCTTTTTAAACCATTAATATCTCTCCATTACCTATCAGAAAAATACAGCTTTAATTAACCTAGAATTTAAGACCCTTCACAATGTGGTCTCCTCTATCATTCCATGAGTTAATGTGCCCTTACCTTCTTTCCCACTTTTCGTGTCCATGCTACTGTATTCCTAATCTGACCTACTGAAGCACAGATTCTCTCTACTACTCACTTGTTTCTTATGTGCTTTGTATTTTGGTAGTTTTGTGTGTGTGTATGTATAGGTCTCAATTACCCGTCTGAATTAACTCCTGAGTATACAGATGGAAACTCTCTAATGCCCCCATGGTATTCAGTGTGGTTTCTTGCATATAGCATTGTGTAAAAAATTAATGAGTGAATTTTTGAAGTTTCATACGTGTTTACTTTTCCAGTTTTATACATGTTTACTTTTCCAGTTCTATACATGTTTACTTTTGTTAATTTCATAAACTTTAGACAACTAAAACTTAATAGACATTCATGTTTTTCCATTTCTTTAATTATATTAAATTATAGGATTAGAAATAAGGTAGTATAGCTTTATCAGTTTGAAATTTTTAAAGATAATAGCTCCATCTCATTTAGTGTTCTAATCCAAAAGATATACAAAGCCTACTCTGAATGAAAGTGATCAGTTCATTATCACATAGGTTTTTAAAAGTAAAACAATATTTGAGAACTTGTTATACATTGCTTTATTCAGTTGCTGGTAATGTACAGTTTTGATGGGGATAAACTGGATGTTTATAGTTGTGAGAAATGTCAAAAACCAAATCATTTAGTTTATCTTGCCTGATGCATTAAATGTAATTGGAGCATATTGAGGACATTTGAAATGTACTTAAATACTAAGTTTATAACACTTAGGCATGATTTTGTTTTCCAAAAGGAGATTGAATTTTTGTGAAATAAAAATGCTTCTTGCTTTTTGTTGAATTTGAAAATGTTTCTACCTTTTACTTTCCTATTTATTTATTTTTCTGGTTTTAACAGTCTGAATGTCTTTTATTTTTTTTAATTTATAGATGTTGTGTGATAAATATTTCTCCTTTAATGTATGAACTACTTAAAACTGTGTTCCATGTAAGGTATTTTGGCTTCGAAATATTTGAGCTTCAGTAAGATGAGGATAATTTCACCCTGAGACCAAAGAATAAACTATCATAGATTTTTATGTATTTTAGATGTTCATATTTATTAACTGCGAGTGCTTTTATTGCCTTTTAATGCAATTGTGGTGTAATATTATTTTAGCTCAGAAATCTCATTTACTCTAAACGCTTGAAGGTTGTCGTGCTATTTTTTTTTTCCTAAAAAGTATTTTTTCCCAAACAATGTTGAGCATCATAATAATGCCTTCTTTTACACCTCACGTTTTTCTAAAGGATGACAATTCGCCCTTCAATTTGGCTTTCAAAATTTCCAAGTGAAATCATAAGTATACCTTTCAGAACAGAGTCACATATTTCAAGTAAATCATTGCATGTATCTGATCTAATCTCACAAACAAAAATGTTGTATTTTTTAAAGTGGTGACATGTTTAAGTTGATACCGTTTTTAAAGGGACTGAGCCTTAAGAATGAAAGTGCAGATTATCCATTTTGACTACTCTCATTTAATCATTTCATTTCTGAAATTAGATTTCCTCTTACGATCCAAAAAAACCTCACTAATGTGCATTTTTGGCTGGGTTAATTCCCTTTGTCATAAAATGGAAGCTAGCCTAAATTTTCTAATAATTTTTCATCCCATTAAAATTCATGGCAAAAATAAAAATGAGATAATTTTGAATTCAAGTGCATATAGTTTATATGGACACCTCCCCCTCTCCCCTCCTCTCTACCTAAGGAAATAGAGAAATTGAGATTAGAAGTCAGTGAAAGCAAACAGCACTTGGAACGGGAGCAGCAGAAGGCAGCCGGGGCCAGAGAAGAGTGTCTGGAACTGACAGATCTGCTGAGCGAATCCCAGCACCAACTGCACCTCACCAGGTATTCCCTAATCCCATTACGCGCCAGAGCACCAATTCCATCCCACTGATTTTTGCCACCGGCTTCCAAACAGTTGTTAGAGTTCATCTTAGTCATTCAATTCACACACAGCTTTCAGGCATATTAAGAGAAGTGGAGATGTGGTAAGCAAAACACCCAGACATGTGAATGATAAGTGTGGCAGAGAATTACTGATATATTACAAAACCTTTCATCGACAATGCTCAAATATTTAGGTGATTCTCTATCAATATGAGCAACATGACATGTGCCTCCTACCACCACCACTACCTCTCCTGTTAATTCTGTGTCTAATGAAAATGTTGAACTGAAAGATCTGTGGAAATATATTTTAGGAAAAGAATCAGCTACTGTCAGTGGTAAAAGAGACCAAGTAAAAGGCATCCCAAGATGCAAACTGGGACGTAACTGATACAAAATAAGGGACTCGAGTCCTAAGGAGGTATAGAATCTGGAGATGAAATTGATTGACACTGTTCATGTTCAAACCATTGTTATAACCGTGCCCTGCACCACTGTGTTCTCAAATTACATGGCTTCTGTTGTGAGGTGCTGGGAAGTATTTATCAATGTGGTGAAACTTTAGTAAATGTATAGCTCAGCCCTGGGTTACAATGAGACGTTTTAGGTAGCAAGCGCTATATAATTTGCTGTGTGGAAAACACACACGCACACATGCACACAAACACACATACACAGAAATTCAAATAGAGATTGTAATATTTGATGTTACCCATATAAGTGGTTTCTTCTCACTTTACATTCTAGTACAAGTTTCCATTTTTCAGACCAAGCATTTAGGTCTGTTCAGTTCTTAGAGTTTTTAAGTTTTTACAGAGAACTTTGCCTAAATACACATGCAAGTTTATGAGCTTTGATGTGGTTCATAAATTAGGAAAACACTGGTCTTTTCATCATAGTAATATGTTGAATTTAAACTACAAAAGGGGACTGATCCCTTTTACGTTAAATATGACAATGTAATTCTGAGCACGGTATGATAACAGATGGGGAAAAAGCACCACTTGAACAGCCTGCATTTGGAGAAAAAAATATTCTAGGGGTTGGTGAACCTCCCAAAGTTTTGGGTGAGTGTTAAGATGCCTCTAGTTCTGTTAAAATCAAACTTTGTTAAAAACATTTTGTTATGATAATATTCCAAATGGTTTGCCAATGCAGCTTTTCAGCAACGTAAGAAAAAGAGAAGAAAGGAAGGGAGAAAAAGAAAGAAAGAAAATAAACCCTTTATACATGTGTGATATCTGGAAAAATCCCAATAGATAAAACACTTTTGTGAGAAGAAATCGCTTACTACTGCCGAGTAAAAGCTGTTCTTTTAATGCCCGTTGAAAGCGTTGTCCTTTAGAACCAAGAATGTAATGTCAACATAGTTCCTATGGATTGTTTCATCTTAGAAGTTCTGAAATTTAGCTGCATCATGACAGTTAATAGTGTTTCTTCTGAAACAACCATTTGTGTGTTAAGCACTACTGAACGACAGAAACGGGACAGCCTTTCATGTCTCAGTGTGGCTGGGCTTCTGTAAATAAATATTCATGCTGGTTTTGTCCCCCTTTCTGTTTTAATCAGAGAGTTAATTTCTGAAGTCAAAGTCCTATAGAGAGTGTTCCTGTGCGTGTCAATTCGTACTGTCTGACAAGCCCAGTGTCTTGGAAGAAGAGCATATTTAAGGTCCCGTGATTGCTGAAAATGGACTCGTAGTAACTAATTCCTTTGTTCTTGAGGAAACTGGTGTTTCCTGGTTCCATAGAAAGCTTTCTCTGTTGGCTTTATTTACGGCTAGTCTACAAAAATTGAAAACTAGTTTTACAGAAAAGAAAACTTAATTACCCAGTTTCTGAGTGCAGTACTCTTTTGTAAGCCTTTTACGTTTATTCTGTGCTCATGTTCTATAAAATCCACATTCATAAATTTAAAAAGGACAATTAAAAAAGCGAAGAACTGTGTGTATCTCTCTTTTGCACTAAAAATGGGAGGCGTTTGTTGGGCTGAATATTTCTGATACACTTTTTTTGGGCTTTTTAGAATTTGCTTTCCCTCGACGTTCTGTACTGATTCGGTATACTCATACTCATTCGGTATGTGGCTGAGTCTTTCTTTTCCCGTGGAATTTTCTAAGTACATTCCATACAGGTAGCTCTTCACTTAGTCTTAACTTTAACATTTCGAATGACATAGTCTAAGCAAAGTTTGACATAGAATATGAAAACAGTGGTGTAAGTAATGATAAGATAAGGGTACAGATGATCCAGGGAAAGGAAATGTAAATACTAGAATATTACTCTGTAGATCAATCTGAAACAAAAATAACCCATCACTTATTTACCATTTCCCTTTTTTGTCCACTTGGACTTAAACACGGAAAATAGAGGGGTACCCAGCTGGCTCCGTCAGTGGGGCATGTGACTCTTGATCTCAAGGTTGTGAGTTCGAACCCCACGTTAGACATAGTGATTACTTTAAAAAATGGAAAATAGAAATTCAACATTTATGGAAGCACCCAACTGGTAAGTATAACATTCACTCATTCAACATCTATTTATTGGACACCTAGTATCTTTCAAGTACATTACTTGGTTTTGGACATAGAGGAAAAAAAAAAGATTCAGTTCTTCCCCTTGGTTGCTCATTCTCTAGTACAGAGCCGGCTCTATATATGCGGCTATAGCAGAGTGTGATAATAATGCCATAAGAGAAATAAAGACTACCACAGGAGCACCTAGGAAGAAGAACCGACTCATTGTACATTGGAGGTGAAGATGATAGGGAAAGCTTTCTGGAGGAGGAGATGTTTGGTAGCTATTTTGATGAATGAGTTCTTGAGTAGCAGTTCTCAAAGTGGAGGAAGGTGGATGGAGTGATATATATGTACATATATATATGTGTATTTATATATATATAAAGACATGAAGATGGGGGGTATATAAACTCTACAATCAGGTTAGGTATTTGGTAGGGGCTAAGCCAGGAAAGGCAACAGGGACCAGAGGAAGGTTCTTGTGGTCTATATTCTGCAGTTTGGGCCATTCTGAGAGTAAGGGGTTACTCTTGATGTATTTAAGCAAGGCTGTCAACATAATCATTTCTTGGGGTCGGTGTTCTGACTCAGCGGTGTAGAGAGCAAACTCGGAGAGCTGATGTCGAAAACAGGAAGACCACTTAGGGCAGAGTCAGCAACTACGGCCTATTAATATGTCCTGTTGTCTCCTTTTGGCAATGAGCTAAAAATAGTCTTTATATTTTTAAATGGTTGGGAAGAAAAAAAACAAAAGAAAAATAATGTTTTGTGGCATGTAAAAACTATATATGCATCACTAAAGTTTTATTGGACACAACCATGATTATCCCTTATGCATTATGTATTGAGACTCTTATGGCAGAATTGAGTATGGACCTCAAAACCTTAAAATATTTATCACCTGGCCCTTTACAGAGAAAATTTACCAACCCCTCAGGAGGGAATATAATTCAAGGAAGAGAGCTTGGACTATGAGGGGTTCAAATATGTGTTTATTTATTTTTTAAAATTATTTTTTTATTTTAGAGAGAAACAGGGTTGGAGGAGGCAGAGGAGGAGAGAGAGAGAGAATTTCAAACAGGCTCCATGCTCAGTGCAGAGCCCAACACTGGGCTCGATTCCATGACCCTGGGATGACCTGAGCTGAAATCAAGAGTTGGACACTCAACCAACTGAGCCACCCATGTGCCCCCAAATATGTAGTTAAAGACGTTAAATGAAAGGTAATTATAGGATTGGCTGAGGAACAGATGCTTGACAGGGACCTAGGCTCAAATGTAAGTTCATGGGGTAGTAAGGAAACCCTAGGCATAGCTTTGCCCATAAAATGGAAGGAAAATAGCATCTTTAAGAGGCATCTAGGGTACGGGCCCCTGGGTGGCTCAGTTAGTTAAGCGTCTGACTTCAGCTCAGGTCTTGATCTCATGTTTCATGGGTTTGAGCCCCACATCAAGCTTGGTGCTGACAGCTCAGAGCCTGGAGACTGTTTCATATTTGTGTCTCCCTCTCTCTGCCCCTTCTCACTCGTGCTTTGTCTCTCTCTCTCAAATATAAATAAAGATTTTTTTTTTTAAAGAGGTATTTAGGGCAGCAAATGAAAGAGGCCAGAATTAAAGATGACTCCAAAGTTTCTAGGCCGAGTTAACTGGATGAACCATTAGCTCAACGAGGGAACTTTAAAAGAAGTAACAGAGGAAAATAATACACTGTGTTCTGGGACTTGAGCGGAGATTTGCAGTGCAAGTCCAGTGTGAGGAGAAAGGTCAAGACCTGACACACTTCGCTGGATGCTACTAGTTATAGCCAAGAAAATAGGTGAAAGCACGAGAGGGCCATGCTTGTAGAGTAGGCTGGAGAAGAGCCACCAGCCAAGGAGCCTGAGGGGCCATCAGGGCATAAGAGAACAAAACAGAGGGACACCTGGTGGTTCAGTTGGTTGAGTGTCCAACTTCAGCTCAGGTCATGATCTCATGGTTTGTGAGTTCGAGCCCTGCATGGGGCTTGTTGCTGTCAGGGAAGAGCCTGCTTCAGATCCTCTGTCCCCCTCTGTCTCTGCCCTTCCTCCACTCATGCATGCTCTCTCTTTCTCTCTCTCTTTCTCTTTCAAAAATAAATAAGGACATAGTACGGAATGATACACAGGATGGAGTAACAAAGCCACATGCTTTTCTTAGGGCAGCCCTCTCCCCAGGCGTCCAAAGGTTCAGAAGTGGAGTTTTGGAATCTTCTCCTGGGGCATTCGCTATCTTGGCAACTTTTGGAAAGTTACTTAATTCTTTGAACCTGCTTGCTTACCTATAAAATGAGGTTACAAACTGATTTTTGAGTTTCCTTCTAGCCCTGACAGTCAATGATTCTAATAGTGATTTAAGACACCCCGTTATCAAGTGCCTTATTTCCTGACATTAGGCATTTAAATTGCATGGGGTATTCTTTGTTT